AACAAACAGACCTTTAATGTGAAATACTTAAGCTCAAATGGTTGTGTGTGTAAATAATGAGTATAATGAAATCAAAGTTAAACTCAAATCAATCTAGCACAAATATATGAGAATCAAAATAATAAATAGCTAGAGGGTGAGTTTAGAAAAATTTCTCTAAAACAAATAGGGGTAGAGATTTGAAGATGAAATCCTTCTCTTTGTAAAACTCCTTCAAATAAATAAACACACTTGTTTTTCTCTTAAAATCCCTTAAACAAACTTGCAAAACCTCTTTCTAAACTTTCATAAAGAAACAAATGCGTTATGAGGGCTATATATAGCCTCTCGAAAGAAATCAGCCAAAAACTAGTCGTTACAGCCAAATGACCATTGACCGGTCAACTTATCTTTTGGATCGGTCGACTGATAAGTCTGTAAAACTTAGGCTGTAAAAACTGGACTGGTCAGTCGACTGATATTTTCTATCGATCGATTTATACATTATATCGGTCGACTTAAAACACTATTCACAAAAACCTGAATTTTAAAAAAGATAATTTTCTAAATTCGTTTTAAAATAGTAAAACAACTCCAAAAGTAGCAAAATTTGGGACAATATTTATATATATGAAAATAAACATGTTAGAAAAGAAATTTCTAAAATAGCACTTCGCATTTATGAAAACTCACTGTTTTACAAAGCGGTCAAAAATACGAGTTTGGTAAGTACTTGATTTTGATTAAATTTCTTCAAAAAAGTTTTGAGATACTTTTAAATGGATTGATATACTTTAGAAAAGATGTAAAACAATATCATTAAGTCGATAATCTAAAAACACGATATATTCTCAAATAGATGTGTGATATGATAAATTGAAATAACGTGTACGTGCATGTTTTGAGCTTCAAGTATAAACACATAAAGTACAAATCTAAACTAATATACCCAAGATAAATATCTTCGTTTAGCTCAATCTTGGTAGCGAGGATGAAGCACGATGTTGTCTTTGACTTGAATTGTGACAGTTTCATTCTGATTTCCTTCCAACCTTCAATAGGATGTCATCGTTGAAGCGCAATTCCAACCAACCTCCTACCTGGATTCATGTTGGAGGAAAACACAAATACTAGAAAACAAAATTAGAAATTATTTGTTAATTATCAAAACTAGATTAGAAAGTAGACTCATAAATATAAGTCCTAATTGTCTAATTATTTTATTAAAGAACCTAGATCCGACTACTAGGCTATGCAATAGAACAAAAATGATATGTTAATATTTTAATTGTAATATAATTCAGGCTAAGATCATAAAATGGGCCAACATGCTAGGAAAGAAGTTTTCTTGCCAAAAATATCGTTGCCTCCAACTGAAGATGAGGGGTTCCTCTTCAAGTTCAAAAGTAAGCAATTTTTAATATGGCTATGTTTTGCAATAACAATTAATAAACCCAATGACAAACAATACCTAATGTAGGCATCTATCTAGCTCAACATGTTTTCTCTCATAGACAACTATATGTTGTTTTATTAGGAGGGTTTTTAATAGGAACAATCAAAGTCCTGATAACATCGGACGAAAAATTTAAAGAAGATGAAAGATACATGAAAAATATGGTATATAACGAAGTTCTCCAAACAACAAACAAGTAATTAACTTCAAAGTCACAATAGTTATTCTAGAGGTAATTAATTTATCAGGATAATTAGCTATATTTATTCATGTTCATTTCTCTAATTTATAATTTTCATTTTCGTATAACTTTTTTGCTTCAACATGCACTTAATTTTTTTATCACTCAAACTATATTATGATTTAATAATATTCTAAACCTTATGAGAAACAACAATTAATAAATTTATTGTCAAGACTATGGTATATTCTAAGCTAGTGGTCAAGACTAACATGTATATTTTAATCTAATTTATAGGAAATATGACTACCACTAATGAATGGCAAATTCAACACACCCAAATAAGCCAGCTCAAGAAGTTTTAGAAAGAATGGACCATTCATCTTAACATCATTTGAAGTGTAGAGACCACTTACAGTAATGCAAAAAGGATCATGGAAATTACTAAGACTAATTTTCATTGACACTAAGGTAAAATAAAAATATTCTTTATGTTATATTACTTGCACAACATTCCCACAGATCATATAGGTATTGTTAAACCTCAATATCTATTAGGTAAATTACATTGAAACCCTAATAACTTTCATAATGCCTTTTTGAGTAGTTTTTTTGTTTACATATAACTAATTAAAATATAACATATAACTTAGTATTAATTAATTATATTTTACAATCATTGATCTTTAATGTTAATAATGTTTGCAGGGTAATAAAATACAGGGATTTATGTATGGAGAGACTATCGAAAAGTTTAGAGATATGCTTTGAAAGAATCAAAATATTCTCATTTTAAATGGAGACGTGAAATGAATAAACCCAGATTTTCCAAGAGTCCATAAGTCACTTGAATTAATATTAATAAAAGACGTATCTATCAAAGAAGCATCAACTAATTTCCATTTGGAAAAAATATTGAACAACTTTGTCCCAATTGAAGAAGCATTTTCTATAGAAGAAGCAACAAAAATTAGTAAGTACTTAAAATTTCATACTTTATTCTTCAATACAAAATGAGATATTAATTTATGGAGTCATAAACTTTTTATAAAATTACTTGCAAATGTTCTTGCAATAACAACTAACATAAAGCCGATGATCAACTATATTACAAGACGTAACAAACCCGACAATAGGAGGGAAATCACGATAATGGATAAAATGTATATTCATGATACTTATTTTCAATATCATAAGGAAAAAAAAAGATTAGCAATCTTTCTTTCTCATGTACAGTGGAATGACTATGCACACAACTTTATTCGGGAATTTGACTACAAATGAAGGATTTCTTGAAGCCAAAGCAATGATAAGCCTATAATAGCATTAACAGAATTTAAAATCTCCATCAACGCTCTCTCTATATAAAAAATCTCTATATATCATAACAAAAGGATCTCCATCAACACTCTTTATAAATGTAAAAAATTTCAAATTAGTAATATTATGCAGACATCACAGAATTCAATACATGTATAATATTAGAAACATATTCTTATTAACACATTTAAACCTAACTAAAATTTGTCATTATATAGACACACTATTGCACATTTAAGGCAAAGATAAATACTATTTTAAATAAACTCGAGTCATGGTTCTATACTTGCAAAGGATGCAATAAGAAGGTAGATAAATGTGTTAATAAAGAGTATCTGAATGATAAATGATGTAGAATTGCTGATAACTCAGTATCAAGGTTAAATAATATGTCTTTTTTTATGACATGAACATAAAATGCAATATTAATATATAACTAGAAATCAACAATGAAAACTACAGGTGTGTAGTTAAGATTCTCGTGAAAAATGACATGAACAATGCAAGGGTAATACTGTTTTATACAACAGAAATTCTTATTGGATGCACAACAGAAGAATTCATTGTAGAGAAAGAAGAGGTAATTCCTAACTTTATTTAAGTAATAATTAGAAAATCAAAAAATTATATATATATATATATATATATATACCTAATCTTATTTAAGTTAAATTAGGAATACAAAGAATTATATATATATATATATATATGAAATTAACATTTGTTCTCGTTGAAACAGAAAAATAATCAAAGTCCACATTTCTGAAAATTTTTGTTGAACATCAAAAAAGACGTTCAAATTCCTGGTGAAGTTAGATGAGAAGACAAAAAGATGAACGAGGCAAAGGAGATATAATAGCACAAGAAATCCAACTCCCACCTTATATCACAATCGATGTAGATGATGAAGATGCGACTCTAGAATTGCCTAAGAAAAAGATAAAGGTGGAGAAAGATCGATATCAACTCAATTAAAATATGAAAACAAAAAGAATGAAGGATAATATTTTTTGAACATTTTATATTATATCTTAATATTTTGAGTAGAGTTACAAATTTTTATAAGGGATTTTCATGCAAAACTTTTAGTAGTTTTATATGCTCATGTGATTGTTTTTATCATATAAAATTATATTATAGTTACAATTAATTTTTACTTTTTGTCTTTTTATTATTTTAAGTCTATCAATTGATGTAGGCTGAGATCTCTTATATATCATTTTGTCGTACTTCTTTTTTTATGTTTGTTTTTTAGCTTATAAAGTCTCAAAATACTGTGCAATTCTGTTTTCAATGCAATAAGAAATGTCATTTCTTTATTACTAGAACTATAGTTAATAATGATATTGTTATTCATGTTTGACTCCATATTATAGCTTGGGATTAGTAGAGTTTGGAATATGACATGTAGCATCAACTTAAGTTATTTTCTTTTACTATTCTGCTTGAATATATTATTGTGTCAATTGATATTTTTTTCTCAGGGAATCAATTAAGGTGTCCCAATTAAGTATATTGATCCCAGTTTAGCACAAAAATCCATTATATTGATTTTTTATAATGTTTAAATAAAAATAATAGCAAATCTAAGAATCCAATTTTACAGATTTAAACTCAAAATGAACCAAACTTATTTATAATAATAAAATAAATAAAAAATAAAATTATTTTGATATTTAAACACGTGCACGTGCATTGCACGTGCATAAAAACTAGTATATATAAATAAAACCCTTTATTGGAGCTTCAAAGCTCCCAAATTATGAGCCCAGAAAATTGGACTGGGCGGATGGAAATCTCATATTGACCAAGTTATCGGATACGGGCCGAAAAAAAAGCTAACCAGGCCGCGGCCCGTTCGACCCACGTAAATTCCTCCACGCCGCTTCTAACGTGCTATCTATATAGCAGCGGTCTCTCGCCCCTTCTAAAGACCGGAAAACGCAGAAAAACCCTAGCGCTAGTTTCCGCGGTGAGAGAGGAAGCGGAGAGAGAAATTTCAATAGAAAGAGGAGCAGTCATTAACGATGGCGGAGTACGAAGAGAGATACGAAGGGAACCGACTACGGCGGAGGCTCTCCTCCCCTTCATCATAGGAGCAGCGGTTTCGATGACATGGGCGATTCTAGATCTCAGGTCCAAATTTGCCCTATATCTCTTTGATTTCTTAAATTTCGCATTTATTTGTAGAGAACATAAATTTTGGTCATTTAATGGGTGATGTAGGGGATTTGAAGAGGTTATTAGGGTCTTTGTTGCAGTAATTATTGGTTTGCAATTTTATGTCATGGATAGAGTTTAAGAATGGGCCTATGGTTTTTTTTATTGATTTAAGCTTTGTTGGTTAGCTAATTGATCTTGAGATTTGTGAAGAATTATTTTGGTTTTAGCTAGAAATTAGATTATATGTTTTCTGTTGAGGAGTCAGGTTGTTAGATATTTAGGTTCCTCTTCCATTATAGCCAGCTTTTGGGAGTGACTTCTCCCAGTTCTCTACAAATTATATCACAGAGTCTATCCCGTGCTTTCGAACTCGAAGGAGAATTTTGTCCAAGAATAGTTTAGTGCAAAGTTGAAGGTGTGAA